CACACACAAATATCACACAGACTCACACACACACACACACACGTACACACACACACACGCACACACGTACACACACATGCACACACACACACACACTCACACACGCACCTCTCTCTCTCTCTCTCTCTCTCTCTCTCTCTCTCTCTCTCGCGCGCGCGCGCGCGCACGCGCTCCCGCACGCCCACACACACACACACACACACACACACACACACACAATCAATCAATCAATCAATCAATCCTTTTTTTTTTTAATTTCTTTTAAAATTTTGCATCTTTATTTTTTTAAAACACCTCATTTCCCTGCAAAAAACAAAAATCCAATTCAAAAAAAATACAGGTGTAATCAGGGACCATATATCTCATGATAAAAAATGGCAAAAAAAAATTCCTGCTTTTCTTTATATATATATTTTTTAATTTTGTTTAAATCGATTTTCGTTTTTGATTTTTTAAAAATCTTAAACAAAGTCGGATTCCAAAAAACAAAATATAGGAGTGTAGGGTTTTTCAAGCCCTACACCCCCATATGTTTTTTTTTTTTTTTAACGTATTTTTAGGGGGAGAAAAAAAATATTGAAAAACCGGGCCGTGGACTGGGCCTCATTGGTCGCGGCCACGGCCGAGAATCTCGGCCGCAGCGGCCGAAATGCCCGCGGCCTACGCCGCGGGTGTCACATAGGTAGGGTGCATACAGGTTCCGTACAGATATTACCTGTACGTTTCGTACGGAAAGGCCCCGTACGTGTACGTTCGGTAACGTAGTCAGGAGTCGGATGTTGGCTTTAATTCGGGAAGTTATCTGGGGGAGGGGCTTTCCACTTTCTTGAATATTTTGGACTTGCAGGCGGACCAGATCCCTTCCATGACCACCCCCCTGCAAGCCAGAGCTACATAAGGCAAGGGATTTTGCAGTCACCTTTGGAGGTGACCGCAAATGCCCAATTTTATTTTTCGCATTTTCTTCGAAAATTGGCAAAAATCCGTTGACAAAAGTTCGTGCACAATTTGTGGATGGCGCCGTGTGACTGGCCAAGTACCAAATCCCCATTTCTCCAGACGGCCGCGACGTTGTCCCATTTGAAAAGGTACAGCAGTGTGACGTGAACCATGCCCAAAACCTCAAATCGCCCCTTCCTAGATCCACATATTTTGCGGATTTGAGGTCGCCGTGTGAGGGCATACTCACACGGGGACCTATACTCCCAAAATCCCAAAAAAAAAAGGGAAAAGGCCGGTCACAAGGACCTACCAAATTCACAAATAATGTACTATTCCTGTGGCCATTTGTCAGCGGTCTGGGAAGCCACGGGCCAAGGGATTTTGCAGTCACCTCTCGAGGTGACCGCAAATGCCCTATTTCATTTTTTGCATTTTCTTCAAAAATTGGGAAAATTTCGTTCACAATGTTCTTGCACAATTTGTGGATGGCACCGTGTGACCAGCCAAGTACCAAATCCCCATTTCTCCAGACGGCCACAACCATGTCCCATCTGAAAAGGTACAGCAGTGTGACATGAACCATGCCCAAAACCTCCAATTGGCCCTTCCCAAATCCGCATATTTTGCTTGCGGATTTGGAGTTGCCATGTGAGTATGCCCTGAGGATGCCCTCATTTTGCACATTGGAGAGTGGTGAAGCAACTCCCGTATGTCCTTTCCTTTTTTTTTTTTTCACGAACTGTCTAAGCCATTTCTGACGGGAACTCCTGTCAGAGACGGGGAGCAATCAACTGGAAGCTGTCGTTTCACGCGTGGCTACAGAAATGCTTTTTTTTTTTCTTGTTTTTTCAAGGACCGCTCTCTCCAAAATGTCCTGCGAGGAGGCCACTCCCGGGACAGGGAGCAATCAACTGAAAGCTTTCGTTTCATGTGTGGCTACAGAAGTGCTTTTTTTTTTTTTTTCAAGGACTGCTCTCTCCAGAATGTCCTTGACTGTGAGGAGGCCACTCCCAGGACAGGGAGCAATCAACTGAAAGCTGTCGTTTCACTCGTGGCTACAGAATGTCCTCTACTGCGAGGAGGCCATGCCCGGGTTGCTGCACGAGTGAAAACGGCGATCGGTACCAGTGCCAGTCCACAGGGTATCCCAAATTCGTTTCCACCCCCTCCAAGCTCGGCAGCCCTTGGCACACAGGCAGAACGAGGGTCGGCCCCGTACAACATTTTCGAAGAAAATGCAATAAATATAGCGTCCGTTGCAGCTTTAGAGGCCCCGGTGGTTTCACAGGTTGCAAAAATATTTGGGGGCGGGGTCCCACTGTCCTTGCAAAAAGAGGTCTTTCGGACCGTACAACATTTGTGCTGCTAAACTTCGAAAAAGCACTATTTCTGCAATTACCCCATCCGGGCCCATCGAGAAATGGTCCAAATTAGTTTTCGGAACGGTGGAGCTGTGGCATGCGGGGCCGTTTTTTTTTTTGTTGTCAGCGGAGCGGAGGAAGGCGGCGTTCAAGTGCAGGCCCTTTTTTTTTTCCCCTACTCTGAGGGGGGCGGGGGGCTTGGGCATTTGTTTTCCTTGATTTTTTTATTTTTTTTAATGTGGTCCGATGGACCACGGATCAGATATTAAACTGATCAGAACAGATACTACACTTGATCTTAGCCAAAAGGCCGAGAAAGGTTTCGAGGCAGAGGCTATTGTCTTTTGGAATGGGCTCTTTTTTTCCCCTGCTCTGAGGGGGCCGGGGGGCCTTGGGCATTTGTTTTCCTTTTATTGGTCTCGAGGCAGAGGTTATCGTCTTTTGGAATGCGCCGCTGTGCCATGCGTAGCGGGGGTGAGAGGGCGTTGCCGTCGTGCTGTGCCCTTTTTTTTTTTCTTTTTCTTTCGCTACCGTGAGGAGGAGGGGGGCTTGGTTTGAGCGCGGTGCCTCTGCCAGGCGTCCCGGAACTTGTTTTTTGTGGACAGGGGAGATTTGCTTTCCCTTTATCTATGCCGAGCGGCAGTGTAGGGAACTTGCCTGTTCTCAAGTTATGTTCAAGTGCGGGGGAGGGAAGCCCCCCCCTCCCCCACACCCCCTTCCCCCCAAGTATAGATCGGGGACATTTTGTGATGAATAGCGCGAAACAAGACAAGCTTTTTTTCTCATGTACAGATTTGTGCGAATGGCATGAATTATGATACATGTTTGTACAGCCGATTAGTTCGGGGGGCAGAGCAGCGGTCGGAAACGTACATTGTGGTTTAAGGTCGGGGGTTTGTTTTTATGGGATGCATGTATTCACAGCTGATTAGCTTTGTGGGCGTATCTGCATAAGATATCCAAACAGGCGGGAGAAATATAAAAGGTCGGGGGGTTGTTTTTATGGGATGCATGTATTCACAGCTGACTAGCTTTGTGGGCGTATCTGCATAAGATATCCAAACAGGCGGGAGAAATATAAAATGAAGAATGGTTCACATTGCGGAAGGAAATTGGAGCAATCGCCATCATCAGCATCAGCATTGTCATCATTATCGCCACCATCATCATCATGGGCATCCCCAATCGACGTCATCCATGGGCACATCGACAAATGATCCAAATCACTTTTAAAAATTAGAAAACGATCATCATCGCGCTGACCAGCCCCACGTAATTCAGAGTTATTTTACTCGTTTGATTCAATCCAGGATTCGAACACAGGTCTCGTTATCAACACCTCATGGGTGGATCATTCAACCAAATCGGCTGGGCAGCGCAGGACATTGTCGATGTGGCCACGGCCAAGCAGGTAGAAAACAACGGAGCGCCCTTCGGGACATTCATTAAAATTGGAACGATACACGGAGAGAGAGAGAGAGAGAGAGAGAGAGAGAGAGAGAGAGAGAGAGAGATCATTCAACCACATCGGCTGGGTAGGGCAGGATATTGTCGATGTGGCCAGGGCCATACGGGTTGAAGACATCGGAGTGTCCTTCGGAACATCCGTTAAAATTAGAGCGATACACACACGCGCACACACACACACACACAGAGAGAGAGAGAGAGAGAGAGAGAGAGAGAGAGAGAGAAACAAAACCCACAAAACTAAATGCTAGTAGAATGTCTTAATTACCATGGTTTGGACGATCCCTTGAGATTCGTTTGCTCTGTAATTTTTTTTTGGTCGATCCCTTACGCATTTTCAGGGTGCGTTATGTTCGGGGGAAGGCGATTGTTTGCTCTGAAGTCTAAGCTGCTTCCTGATCGCACCCTGCTCTATATTTTCGCTCGATAGGTCGGATCCTAAATCAAGCTATGATTTACGAAAAAAACATTTGCAAATTTCAAAAAAAAAAAAACTGAGTTTCGACCGATCAGCGTCCAGCACGTGCGCAGTCTGACACCCGCAGATTGGCAGTCATCATTCCGGTTCGACAATGCGTTCCATCGCACACATCTTAAATCATAGAGCAATAAAAAAATTGAGGGCGTAACGGCTGCGCCGTCCTCTATGTTGAAGGACGAGTGGGAATCAGGGAGGAATGTTTCCACGTTCTTTTTTGTACACTCTATAATTTACGGTGTGTGTGTGTGTGTGTGTGTGTGTGTGTGTGTGTGTGTGTGTGTGTTTTTTTGTGTGTGTGTGTGTGTGTGTGTGTGTGTGTGTGTGTGTGTGTGTGTGTGTTTGTGTGTGTGTGTGTGATCTGTGCATCCCGCTTTGTGGCGGAATGGTACAGAGATGGCTATTCATAAACAGATCACACGAGCTAGGTGCTACCGGACTTTTCAAAAGTTCTTAAAATGACCCGAAAAATACTCTGGTCGTGCTGATTGGCAAGAACGAACGCGATCCTTAGCTAGAAAGCAGAGAAGATGTCACAACGCGACAAGCAATATGGCACATGTACGTGCGCTTGTCATGTCACTGGACAGAAAACGTTAGACTAGTTTACTTACACCGAAGAGAGAGAGAGAGAGAGAGAGAGAGAGAGAGAGAGAGAGAGAGCATATGTAACATGTAGGACGTGTCGCACTCTCAGCAGTGCGAAGTGACAGAAAGGACAGAGAGATGGAGGAAGGAGGATAGAGGGGGAGAGGGAGAGGGCAAGCAACCAGGAATGAGAGAGGTCACAGCAGAGTAGTCATGCACAAACTTACAGCTAGCGAAGATCGCGAACGCAACAATCGCAAGTGTGCGGTACGGCGTGGGCTTTCTGATCATATCACCCTCACCGATCTCGCCAGCTTCATCACAACGTTCGGGATCCCGACATTCCGAGTCCGACGATCGATGTGGCCCGTACGCAGCATGCACGCCGACCTCGCCAGCTTCATCACAACGTTCGCCAGCTTCATCACAACGTTCGGGATCACAACATCCCACCTCCGACGATCCATGTTTTCCGTTCGTTCTGTACTTCCCGTCGTCTCGGCCTACCTTTTCTTCCCCTCCCCTTCCTCCCCGCTCAGGCTCTGCATCACTCAGTCTCTCGATCTCTGTTAACAACGGCTGCTCCAGTCCGCCATCCCCATTTTCCGCTTTCCCGTCCATTTCTCTCTCTCTCTCTCTCTCTGCCCCCCCACCCCACACCGCCGGCGGCCAGCTGACTTCTCCGATGGCTTTGGGTTTCCTAAGCAATCGAGGAAGCCGCGATGAACAGAGTGCTGCACTTGTACGACAGAGTTCGTCCCGACGCTGCACTCGGACGCCAGAGCCGCGGGAGGTGACCCTTTTTGCACTTGTACGACAGAGTTCGTCCCGACGCTGCACTCGGACGCCGGAGCCGCGGGAGGTGACCCTTTTTTCAGCGGCCTGTGGAGGACCCTTTTTTCTTTAATTATATAAAGCTATATTCTTCTCTCAATTTCACCTCACACTACCTACCTACCACTACTCCTAATTGTAGGCATACGGGGAACCCCGTAGCAGCCAGAACAGTGTTCACGAGAGAACATGCGGGGGCTGCTCCCGACCTGCAGGTGGGCGATACCGGCTAGGGGACAGCCGGTAGCATTAGGGACCATGCCAACAGGACCAATCCCTGTGCGTCCCCTCAGGTTCCCCTTCCCAATGAACATCAGCAGACTCTGCTAAATGCCAATCGGGGGGTCCAGTGGTCTATCTCTAGGTGGCGGGCGCCAAGCATGCCCAGGAAGGTACATGAGGCCAAAAATGGGGATTAAACCCACGGCCTCCTGAATGCCACTTGCGAGCCTTACCAACTGAGTTAGGCCGCTGGATGGAGGACCCTTTTTTAGACCACCTCCAGAGGTGGTCTCAAATGACCTTTCAATCTTTTTTTTTGGATTTTTTTCGAATTGCCCCTGAAGTTTGTGTTTACTTTGTGATTTGCCCCTCCGACAGCCATCTTACACTGATTTGCCCCTTGTTGTCCAGATGATGACAATGCTTCACAAGTTCAGAAGATAGTCAAGCACCAACCAAGCCCATTCATACGACTACATCCATGCATGCTCATCAAAGAAAAGAGAGAGGATAGAAGAAAGAGGGGAGAGAAAAGTCAAAAAATCCCGAATGCAAAAAAAAGCACAGAAAACTGGACGCAAGCATCCAGTTGGCGAGTGACCCGACCGGTTTTGGCTGGCCGCCATACCAGCCTTCATCAGGGATCTTTTTGTGTGGGTAAGGAACTGGACTGAAACCTTCCATATATACTATTCCTATAGCCTATAGAAGTGACTAGAAGCACCTACTATTACTAGTCTAAAAGGGAAACCAGTAGTCCAGAGTTCAAGTCCTAAAGTTGACACTCCTTCGTCTCGTAAAAACTGGTCACATCATCCGACGGTGGTTCGTCACTCACTGGAACTCGTCACCATATTACCGTACTACGACTCAACCAAAAATCATCCGACGGGCAACAGTTCGAAGTACACCAAACCTCTTCAATGTTGGAGAAACAAAAAATTTTAAAAAAAACAAAAAACAAAAAAAAACAACAAAACAAAAAAAACAAAACAAAACAAAAAAAACAAACAAACAAAGGGAGGCACAGCTACTGGCAGGTCTCGGTCTTTGTGTTAGCCAGACCCCCACTGGCGGGCCCAACCCTATACCCTAACCATTAGGGGCAAGGGGCAACATGAAATCTCCCCTTCACAGAGAGAGGAAAACTATGCTTGCAGGGGTCACCTCTAGATAGTCTTAGGAGTAGGTAGTGGAAGGTAAACAAACAGAAGTTGAGAGAAGAATATAGAGAGTTGTGATCACCCCAAAAAAAAAAAAAAAAAAAAAAAAAAAAAAAAAAAAAAAAATTGGAACCCCCCAAAAAAAAAAAAAAAAAAAAAAAAAAAAAAGGAGAAGAAAAAACCAAAAAATTCAAAGACCGGGAATCCTCTGGGACCGACACGACCTAGAATTTGTCAGACCTCCTTCCCAACCAGTAAGAATCGGTGTCCATTTGTACCATATTCCCCCAAATTTCCGAGAGAAGTAACAAAGGGCGTTATCAAAAGTCTCGTCGGGGTAGGATCGTCGCCAGAGCTCCGTCTTCAAAGAGAACAGAAAAGGAAACTTCGTGCCTGGAACATTGGTGAGCCGTCTGACACGATGCAAGAAGGAACTAACAACAACACTCTTCTGCTGCTTACTCTAATACGAACAAAAATCATGAATGCTTTGAAACTCCACTCTGATTTTTGTGGCACGGCATGCAAGCCAACTCCACCGAGTTGCTGAAGATCTTCATAACACATCCCAAATAATCCCAGCATTCGACATCACTTGTTTTTTCCAAAACCAGGTTGTTGTCATAACATTGTTCAAGAAACAGCAAGATCTTGCTCGCGCAATCACCTGACTTCTTTGAAATTGTTAAGAAGATAAAAACATTGTCAACAAGCCGAAAATTGTGCACCAACGACCGATCCACACCGAGCGAAGACAAAAACATAAATTAATTATATGCACAAAGGAGACAAGCCAATGTCGCACTTGAAGACTTGCCCATCAGAATTCCTACATTTTGTTTTAAAAGTTCACCTACAGCAATTACAAAAGTATTATTGAGCTCGAAGCAAAACGAAGTAAAAAATAACAAAAAAATTCAGCTGCAACCACCCTTCTTCATTGTTACCCCGCAATAACTTAGCATTTTTTCCTCTCTGTTTTACCGCCACAGACTCGATATTCTTCTCCCTCCAATAATCAATGGGCCAACTTAGCGCCAATCAGATAGATGGGTGAGGCAAATTAGAAAGCATTTCTTTCACATCGTAGGAACATCCAACAAGAATCTCGTCGTCCTTTACTGCCTTGTTAATTCGGCACTTCAAGTTGAAGTTTGACCCCTTAGGTAAGTTCCAAAGTAGGTAGTTGACCACTCTAGAGATGATCTTCCCGCCAACCGTCGAACATTCAGAAAAACAGGGGCAAATAGGTCGACTCGTATCCTTATGCTTAGGTATGCAGGAGGCCTTTTCAAACTCACCATCAACCTTCCATTTTCCAACCCTCGTCGGTTGTTTACATTCATATGCCTGCTCAATTTGGTTTATGATTTGTGAGTATCCAACCGTGATTTTCGTAAAAGCCTGATTATCTAAAACAATTTTTTCGTACCAAGATGGTAAAAAACGGGGCAGCAAACGAAGGGGTCACCCATGTTGTGGTCAAATGGGCAGCGGAGCAAACCTCGTAACGCATTCCGCAGTTCATAGATATCGTCAACACAACACCCATTACCGATCATATCTTTAAAAAAACACCGGTTAAAACAAGATTTAAGATCTACGAATGTCTCTGATTCAGAATCCGTCAGAGGGAGGGACGAGTGAGAATAAAAACCTTCCAGTATCTTCTGCTTCAACGATGCCCTATGGTTCGAGCGAGACGGTCGTAAAACATTCTTACTATTCTTCGACCAATCAGGAAACGTATAAAATTTTGACAACCTAAAGGAAAACATGTTCATCAACACGCGGGAAATCACCACAGACAGACTCACAAATGCAATTGTTCTCCTGCTATCTTGCAAAACGTCTGAAATTATGAAGGGCATCACCCACCGTGCGATTGCGAGACCAAGCTATAGGCATTCGAGTCCTTCACACAAGTACTTCCTTCCAAACTAACGAAATCTTCAAGGTGAACACCAACCGAGCACACAGCTTGTGACCAAGCACTTTACTGATCATTTCATCATAAACCAAGCGTACTACCAAATGTTGTCTAATATGTACGTCGAAGCGTTTAGAAATAGAGCGAGACAAGATCTGTCTAATCCTACATCGCAAACGTTTCTCACTGAAAGTTCTAACAACAGTGAATGCAAGCACCAACGATTTTAAAGTCCATGAACGGAGTTGAACCCTTGAAGGTGGATTACTAAAAAAACAGGCTAACAATGGTTTGAGAGCTAACAACTAACTTAAAACGGAACCACGGACTCAAAAATCAAAACAACCCCATGCTTAATCCAACCTCGATAATGACGCAGCAACCCACGACCAAATTCACAAGAAACCACCGAACCTCCATATGGTCGCTTGATAATTTTCCATTTGTCAACACATAGGGGACTGCCATGACATGCCACAACCACCCGGTGCACAAAAGAGACACGACACTTTTCCAAAACTGCGTTGCCACGTGTACGCATCCTCGTACGAGTACGGATTCGCACTCTTGTACTCGTACGCTACTCGTACGGTAGGGGCCGCGTACGAGTTTTTTTTTTTTTTTTTTAATCCGATATAGTTTTTTTTTTTTTTCAAATTCTAAAAAGAATCTGAAGATGATGCTCAGCCAAATGTTGCTTGTTTTGTGTTGTTGCATCACATAGTTTGTTTTCGGATTTTTTTAATGATTTTTTTTTTTTTTTTTTTTTTTTTGCTTTTTCGTACGGGGGCGTACAAGATGTACAGGTTCCCGTAAAAAAATACATACCATGCTGGGGTGGGGTGAAATGTCCCTTAAGGGGCTTCACTTTCATCCCAGCTCACTGTTCCAGTTGGTTAAGTGTTCCGCCTCTTTGGTGGAATGTCTTAGGTTCGATTCCTAGTGGGTTGATCTTGGGATTCTTGTGCATTTGCAAGCGCGCTGAGCCTGTCAGACGCCCTTGCGGTGGCTTGGTTGAGGTCTGACAGGTGGCCGAAAGGCACGGGTTGAGTTGAGTCTGGTTACACCGGGTCATGGATGTACTTCTAAAAAAAAAAAATACATACCATGTTGGGGTGGGCTGAAATGTCCCTTAAGGGGCTTCACTTTCATCCCAGATCACTTTTCCAATTGGTTAAGTGTTCCACCTCTTTGGTGGAAGGTCTTAGGTTCGATTCCTAGTGGGTTGATCTTGGGATTCTTGTGTATTTGCAAGCACGCTGAGCCTGTCAGACGCCCTTGCGGTGGCTTGGTTGAGGTCTGACAGGTGGCCGAAAGGCACGGGTTGAGTTGAGTCTGGGTACACCGGGTCATGGATGTACTTCTAAAAAAAATACATACCATGCTGGGGTGGGGTAAAATGTCCCTTAAGGGGCTTCACTTTCATCCCAACTCACTTTTCCAATTGGTTAAGTGTTCCGCCTCTTTGGTGGAAGATCTTAGGTTCGATTCCTAGTGGGTTGATCTTGGGATTCTTGTGCATTTGCACCCGTACAGGTTCCCGTACATGTTCCCGTACAGATCTCGTACAAATATTACCTGTACGTTTCTTACGGAAAG